GTTTATGATGGATGCCAAAATCTTGGGTAAAATCTTAAACTGTATAAATAAGGAAGGTGAGAATCTGAAGCAATTGAAACCTTAAAAAGACTGAATTCCTAGATTTCTCTTTAAAGAAAGGATTTGATAGTTAACCCTGCAGGAGATTGCAGGGCAGTGGATTGTTCCTCTGCAAGAGACTGCTAGGGTGATGCAGGCCTTTGATTCCTTATTTCCTGATTAAATTGAATTCCTTGCCGTGGCATCCTTATACTAGACCTAATCTTCTGCCAGTCCTGCTCCTAACCGTCTGCCAGTCCTGCTGCCTTCTCCATAGAGCTTTGTGTGTGAGCTGTAATGGACCACTTTTTTTTTTTTTTTTAATATTTTACTTATTTCCATATCTCTGCTCTATACTCTGCTTGGAGTATTGTAATTGTTCTCCTTTCTTCTTCTACTGTTTGACTTCTTAAGGATTATTTAACATGTTACTTACTTTGTGAAACTTTATCTCTGCCCCTACAGAATGAATCCTGTTTTCTCTAGCTCTTAAAACATCTTGATACATACATAATAGGGCCTTTGGCACAGTTATAGGTCTCTATGTCTGCTCGGATAAAATAACTAACTCCTTGAATGCAATAGTCTTAACTTTAAATTATCAGTACCCCTTCCAATGTTCCATATGTGTTAGAGTGGTTAAGTGAATGAAGGAGGAAGCCAATTGAATTTACTTTAATCACTACTTAATATTCCCATTTATGTATAGTTATAGACAAATAGTTTTCTTAAGTTAACTGAGTTTTTTTTTTTAATCTTTATTGTTCAGATTATTACAAATGGGTTCCTCTTCCTCCCTCCCTCCTCAATTGCTCCCCTCCACCAGATTCCCACCCCACCTCTGTCCTTTCCCCACCCCCCATTGTCCTCATCCATAGGTGCACAGTTTTTGTTCAGTCTCTTCCCACACCTCCATTCCCCTTTTCCCCCCGAGAATCGTCAGTCCACTCCCCTTCCATACCTCTGATTCTATTATATTCACCAGTTAATATTGTTCATCAGATTTTTTAATTCCCTTGGCTTTTAGTTTCACTTGTTGATAGTTACGTATTTGTTGTTCATAATTTTTATCTTTATCTTCTTCCTCTTCCTAAAGAATCCCCTTCAGCAATTCATATAATTCTGGTTTGGCGGTGATGAACTCCTTAAGCTTTTTTTTATTTGTGAAGCTGTTTATCTGACCTTCGGTTCTGAGTGATAGCTTTGCTATCAGTAGATTAACTGAGTTTTTTGCAAACTTATTTATTAGTATTCGTAGTGCAAGAATAAATTTGAATTTAGTCCTGCTTAAAATTACTGCATTTATTTTTTTATATTTTTATTTTATTTTTTGTCAAAATGACTGCATTTAAAGGGGTTTTAGTCCTAACTGGTTTGGCTCAGTGGATAGAGCATTGGCCTGTGGACTGAAAGGTCCCAGGTTTGATGTACCTTGGTTGCGGGCACATCCCCAGTAGGAGGTGTGCAGGAGGCGGCTGATGGATATTTCTCTCTCATCATTGTTTCTGACTCTGTCCCTCTTCCTTTCTCTCTGTAAAAAATCAGTAAGATATATTTTTTTTAAAAGGATTTTTTTTATAATTCTGTGCTTTTTAATATAAAGTTAAAATCAGCATTCTCACTGAAATTAATGGTTAGGCTAGGTAAGTTTGTTAGAAGTAATTATTATTTAATAAGAAATAAGATAGTTCTCTTATATTAGGAAAACTTGCATGATTTGAATGGGTATTTTTGACTAAAACGCATTTAAAATTTTATCGTGGGAATTCCAGATTGGTGGTAGCTTTTTCTGCCTCACTTTCTTCTTTTACCATCACATTTTCTTGTCCTGGCCAGGTAGCTCAGTTAGTTAGTGTGTTATCCTCATATACTGAGGTTATGGGTTTGATCCCCTGGCAGGGCACATAGAAGAATCAACCAATGAATGCATAAATAAGTGGAACAGCAAGTCGATGTTTCTCTACCCCCCTTCTTCTCTCTCAAATCTATAATAATAAAAATGTATTTTAACAAAACCCCACATTTTTTGTGCCCCAAGATACAGTTAAAAAGAAGAGATTATTCATTTTTAGGAATTGTACTGCAATAGGCTTGATTTGAGCCTCTATTTTCTGCTGCTCTCCCCTCCCCCCATGAATGGATATAATGCCCTAAAATATTGTCAGTAATTGACCAAGAGGTACATTTTAGGTGGACCTGCTTTATTACATGAGAACTAGAGGCCCAGTGCATGGATTTGTGCACCTATGTGGGGGGGGGGGGTGTCCCTCGGCCTAGCCTGCAGGGATCGTGCTGAAACTGGCTCTCCAACATCCCCCGGGTGGTCCCGGATTCTGAGAGGGCAGATCTTGGGTGATGCACCCTGGAATTGGGCTCCCTCCTCTCTGATTTCGGGTGTGTCACCTGAGAACTGCAGCTGCCAAGTCACCACAGCTTGGCAGTACCTGTGCTGAGCATCTGCCCCTTGGTGGTCAGTGTGTACTAGTGTGTGTGTGTGTGTGTGTGTGTGTGTGTGTGTGTGTATATATATATATATATAAAGCCTAAACAAACATTACAACTGGTCACTATGATGCACACTGGCCACCGGGGGGGCAGACAATGCAGGAGCTTCCCCCTGGTGGTCAGTGCTCTCCCACAGCCAACCTCCCGTGGTCCCTCCCCCCTGCTGGCCTATCCCGATCGGCCCTGATCACCGGCCAGGCTGAGGAACCCTACTTGTGCAAGAATTCGTGCACCAGGCTTCTAGTATATGGATTATAGATGATAGCTAATATTTGTGATGTTAAAAATTATCATCCTAATAGTTTTAGGAATTTTTACAGAAGAACCCTTTGAGATTTGGGGTGGTTTTATGTATCTTAAAGTGGCAAGAATTGTTCCTGCACATAGAAAATGTTATTTAAATCATAAATACTATTATTATAGTAATTTTGAGGGGTAGAAATTCAACACTTAAAAAAATGAGATATAGAAATGATTCCTAGTCATACAGGCCAAGACAGTATTTTCTTATGATACTTAGTAAATAGACTTGGAGATCATTATAAAAGAAACACAATTTTAAATATCTATTATAGTAACAGTGTAGGTGCATTGTTCCCAAAATAGAAAATACAAAAATTAGGAAAAAATGCATATTCTCACCACCTAGAGATTATTATTTAAAAAAAAATTATTTTATTGATTTCTCATAGGAAGGGAGAGGGATAGAGAGCCAGAAACATTGATGAGAGAGAAACATTGACCGGCTGCCTCCTGCACACCCCCCACCAGGGATGAGCCCGCAACAAGGCACATAGCCCTGACTGGAATCGAACCTGGGACCCCTGAATCCACAGGCCAACATTCTATCCACTGAGCCAAACCGCTTAGGGCAACCTAGAGATTATTACTTTTAGTACCTTAGTCTGTAATCTTTTTGTGTACATATAACTATTTGGAGATAAATATATATATATATTTTACATTTTTTCCCTTTTATCTTTTACCAGGATGTATCTGTACATTCTCTTTTAAAACCTTCCCCCACCCATTAATGTCTAATTATTCATTTCTGTTATTTTCATTCCATCCAATACCCAGATTATATTCAAATTTCTCTAGTTGGCTCAAAAATGTCCTTTATGGCTGGTTTGCTAAAACAGTACCCATAACAGCATTGTACTTGTGAACTTGGCTGTTAGACCCTTTAAATTTTTTAAAATATATGTGTAAATATTTCTTTACTCAAAAAGAAAATATTATTTCTTTTATAAAATATTTTTACCCAAAACATAATATATACACTGTTGTGCACATTTTTTTCTTAGATTGTAAATCTATCCAACCAATACATAGTAATCAATATGAATGGAATATAGATTACACATAACAAACAACCTTTTCTTAATTATCAAAACAAAAGCTTTCAGTAATTTGATAATTATCTTTGGTTTGAAAATAATAGTGAAACCAGCTTAATAATGTGAGTATACAAGCAGAAAGTGGGAAAAAAAAATCCAGAAAAGGGCACTGAATATGGTGAATTTTGAATTGCATTTGGAAGATGAATGGGTCCAGAAGTAGGTGGGTGGAGAACTTTAGAGATGGTCTTGAAGGGAGGCTTTAGGCGGATTAATTTGGCTCATCTGAAAGATTCCAGTCAGGAAATCCTGGGATTAGAGAGGATTCATAGAGCTCAAGAAGAAATGAGAGCTGGTATGATGGACACAATGCATAGAAATGTAGATTGTTGATAGTTTTTTATAGTTTGATATGTTATTTTTAAGTGTAGATGTTTGTTGTTATGCCAACTGTAGTGTGTAACAAGGGACTAGAATAGGCATGCCAAATATTGATTACCTTGATAGGAAATGAGAATAAGATTTTATCCCAGTTCAGTATTGTCCAGTGATAACACTAAGGGTGAGGAGATCTTAATGGTTGTCTCAATGTAATCATGTGGAATAGGAAATTGAAGTCTAAAAGGGTTAAGTGATTTGTCCAAATTATACGTCTTCAATCTGATATCCTAATTCTTAATTGTATCTCCTTTTCTCTATACATGGTGTCTTATAATCAGGAACATTGGAGGTTGTGTAAATTTTTGTTGTCTTGTTTTTAATTGTCTTTTTGGTTTTTGTACCAAGACATTCAGTAGTATTTGTGATTTATAAAGTCTGAAGTTTTTGTTCTCTATGTATATCTAAATACTATAGAATGGGAGCTACCTTTTACCTTAGGTACATTTTTAATATACTAAGTAGAGGGATTTTAAAATTATTTTACCAAATAATTTAAGGATTTTTAAAAAGAATGCATTTAACTATATTAATCATACATGATAATTTATAGATAAATTTGACAATTTTCATTAGCAAAGCTGTAGTGGGGAAAGCTTTCCAGATAATATTTTAAAATGTGTACATGTACTTTTCATTGTTCCATATTTCAGATATTTTCTTAACCTAAGTACTCAGATATTTATCCAAACATTATTGCTATGGGGTTTCCTGCAGAAAGACTTGAAGGTGTATACAGGAACAATATTGATGATGTAGTAAGGTAAGAACTCTTTTTAATTTTGAATATTGCTATATTAATGTTGTATTTTCATTTAGAAAATATTTCTAAACCACTGAAAAAGATGTGCTTTGGCATGTAAACTTGATTTGGATATTATGTTGGTGTCCTATAACTATTTTTTAAAATATGTCTAATGGGCCTCAGTAGGATACAACTTATTTGAATTTGATAAAAATGAACGTTTTACTTAATCAGGTGTATGTGCTATGCTTTCGTGGACTCTATACAAAGTGCCCTTTAGTAGGTGAATGCCTGGATTCATTACACTAATTTTTATTTATTTATTTTTTATATTGCAATTGGGGGTAAGGCTTAAAATTCTTGAGTGCATTTATTTACTTAAATATATTTATTCTATATAATATATTTATAAAACCAATACCATGTAGTTTTAAATATAGCAGTTTATAATGGGTCCTAAGTATGCCAAGCACCTGAAGAAGTATTTGGTGCAAAGGATCTAGAAAAAAATTGCTGGGCATACCAAGACTAAATGTCCATTTTATAATTTTGCATAATTTTCTTAGTGTAATTATTCAGCTCAAAACAAGGCTGAACGGAAAGGCCATTTAATTAATTTTAAAGTGTTTATGACCTAACAGTACATGGTATATTTTATGAGAGAAGGAATTTGTATCTGCTGTGTAGTCTTAATATATTTTCTAATGTCAATGCGAAAATCTGTTATGAATAAATTAAATGTAAAATATTACTAGAAACAACAATGGCTTTTAAAAATTAAAACTTGGATTATTCTTGAAGATTTTCAATTTAAATATTTGATGGTTATGAAAATTAAATGTTTCAATTAGTTGTAATGCACTTTTAAAGCATTATGCAATGTAGAATTCTTTTATAATAGTTGTCTAAGTACATAAGACTACCTATACCCTTGTATTATTTTTAGCAACTTATGAACCAAAGTATATTAATATTTTTGCAGTACTGAATTGTGTCCAGTTGGGTTTTTGTAGTGTTCACATTGTGTTCAGAATTAAATTTCAGTTTCTACAAAAACTACAAAAGAACCCAAAACTATTTTCTTTGTGGTTTCTGTTAGAATATAGGTATCATACACGAGGCTGTCAGAAGTACTATTTACGAAACTAAAAAGGAAATGAACTTGCCCTTTTCATAGGCAAGACAGGGGAAGGATGCTTAACATTGAAGCAGTTTGATCTGGCTTAGTCAGTGATAACACATCAAGAGAAAATGCAATGGGTGGTAGAAAAAAGAATGAGCAAAGTAAATTTTTTGATTGAGAGATGGAGAATCTGGGAAACGGGCAGTGCGGTCACCAGTCATATATTCTCTGTTGTGCAGGAGTATTTATTAGACCTCTTTAGAGCTAAGATGAACTATCTCATAAAATGATTACACATTACTATAATTCTATATTCAACCAAATAATGATTCAACCAAGTCAAATTAGTACTCATACTGAGAAAAAGTAAAGATGAGTCCTGAGGTCATTGTGAGGATATTTTTGTGGTAATCTGGTATGCTAGTTTTTTCATTGTTCTCTTTTGAATGTGAATTAATCTTTTTTGACTAAGTTAGTCACTGAGGATAAATGATCCTTTTAGGTTACTGATAAAGTCAGACATTTGATTATCAGACCTTAAATTGTAATAAGTTCACCAAGAAAATACTATGCTGGGAAGTATTTTGATCTTTGATCTTTTGACTTCATAACCACTGCTTTTATGCTTCGGAATTTAGATTCACATTTTTAATTTGTGTAACCAAAATTGAAGTTTATTCTATCTGCTTTAATGTGTCTAGTTTATTTTATATAGCTTTTAACTTTTTCAACCTATTATTCTTAAAAATGTTTTATGTATATGGTTGGTTATATAGCCAATGGTTGCTTTAGCTGACTGATCTTGTCACCTAATGGTAATGGTAATAGCATATGAAAAATGAATTATTAACTGAGTGGAATAGTTGCGCTGTGCATATTTTTGTTTAGTTTTTATTTTAATTTGAGGGATAAATGACTAGTAAGACTTTGTTGGCTTCAGTTGCTTAACCCCTCCTACCCCCAAACTCCTTTTTTTTTTTTTTTTTTTTTTTTTTTAAGGAGGAAAGGTTGGAAATTGTAGTTATAATTGGTATGTTGCTTTTGGTCCAAAGATGATAACATAGCAGTGAAAAAAAGTCTATTTTCTTATACCTTTTCTGTTAATGAAACTATTTCTAATTTGATGGTTCCTTACCCTGTTATTTGAGATGTCTGAAGAATAGTATCTTTTCCCCCCCTAATTCCATATTTTTCCTATTATTTTCTCCCATGAGTAAATATTATGTAGAGTTCAGATTTTATTGTTGTACATCAGTGCCTTGAGTAAAAGAAATCCCAATTTCTAATACCTTTATGCTTAAATTGTTCAGCATTATTTAACTGTTTTGGGATATGAATTATTAAACCAATGTGAATTTTATACATGAGGTACTCAAAGTATGTTTGTGACAAATATTTAACTTTTCTTAATTAGGTGACTTCCTAGGATCAGGAATTGATGTAAAAAACAAAAAGGGAGAGAAGGGGGAAGGTAAAATTTTTTATTACCCTAATTGCAAATTTATTTATTTATTTTTTAATTGATTTTTTATAGAGAGGAAAAGAGAGGGACAGAGAGTTAGAAACATTGATGAGAGAGAATCATAGATCAACTGTCTCTTGCACACCCCCTACTGGGGATGTGCCCGCAACCAAGGTACATGCCCTTGACTGCAATCGAACCCAGGACCTTTCAGTCCGCAGGCTGACGCTCTATCCACTGAGCCAAACCGGTTTCGGCTAATTGCAAATTAAAAAAAAAATATTTATTTTCCTAAAAATATCTTTGCTCGAGGTTGTGTTGTTATTGATTAATCAGAGAGAGAAAACATAGATGTGAGAGAAACATTGATCGGTTGCCCCTCAACCTTTTGGTGTACGGGACAATGCTCCAACCAACTGAGCCACCAAGCCAGGGTGCAGATGCTTTGCTTAATAAACCATTAGGATTGACATGGCAGGACAAGGACAGTTCATAGAAGGGAAGTTGAAGCACTAACTCTCCTCAGACTGTTTTTCCTTTTTTACCACTAAACTGTTGATCCGACTAGCTGGTAATATGAAACAATGTTTTATTCAGATAATTGATTATTCTTTGATATGTATGTCAGTCTTATCTAAATTATATGTTATCTGCTATAGATCTAAGCAGTCTTTAACCAATTAATGTTTCATGTGTTTAGCAGACATAGCCCGAGAACTGTTCTGTACCTAATAATATCCGGGAAATACAGGTTTAAAGAGGTGAACTGGCTTTCTTACTGTAGATCTCTCGAATGAAATTATAATATGCTTAGAATTCTCTCCCCCTTCTTTTCCTCCTTTCTTTCCTTGTCTCTTTTCTTTTGTGTATTAAATATCATATTTCTAAGTTGTGTTTTATGGAGCATAATTTAGAAATGCTAAAAATGAAAAAAAAATGCATTTAACAATATTTTCCCATAGTTTGAATTAGTAGGAATTTACTTCCTCTTTTATTGGAAAGATTTTAGGTGTGAAAAGATTCCCGTTTATTGTAAGGGAATGCTTAGAATCAGTTTTCTGATATATGGTGATTAAAAACAACATTTACAGTATCTTGTATGTTATCAGTTTTTATTCATATATAAACAACTCTATTACAGATTAAGAGTTCAGCTTTTTTCCTGTTTTATGCAATTTTCTTACTAAAGACATTTTTCAAATATTCTTAATTATATGTTAATCTTCCTATCAACCTTAATTGTGTGCTAATTTTTCAATAAAAAGGAAATGTTTTTGTTACCCCTACATTATCATCCTTTGGATATTGAGAGGAGAGGACATTATTTAGAGGATTTAATGTTTAGAGATTATATAGAGAAATTCAAAATAAATTAGAAGAAAGTATCAATTTCATTTTTCCTTTTTAACAACTTTTGACCTCTTCTCTCATGTAGGAAATCATCAAGGAAAGTCTTTTCTGGTGTTATTATACCAGGAAATGTCTGTAGGACTTGAATTTCCAGATTGGAAATACCTATATAATGCCAATCATAATAAATGAAAATAGGGCAATACCAGGTAAATTATTACAAAATTTCTTGAACACCAAAAATAATGAGAATGTTTCAAAAGTTTTTAGGCTTAATTAGGAAGCATTAAGGAATATGAATGGCATTAACTTCTTGGCAGTATAATTAAAAAATAGAAGATGGAGAAAACAGTACTTCAAAAGTTATACATGTTCAGTCTTGAATTCTGTATCTATATAAACTACCTATCAAGTGCAAAAGTAGAAAAACAAAATATTCAAGGCCAAAAAAGAATATATTCATGAAACATTTCTCAGGAGATTACTATTGTAAAAGATGTGCTCCAGATAAACAAGGGAATAAACCATGAAATATCGATAAAAGGGCTTCAGTAAGGAGAGGATCCAACTCAAACGAAAAACAAAAGTCCGAGGATGACAACTATGCTATAAGCAGAAGAGCAACAAGTTCTAATTGGAGTAGCAGGATAGAGGGATTTAGGGGAAAAAAGAAAAAGAACTGATAGGTTGATATTGAAATATTTGGGGAAAAGATGCAAGGGAGTCTTAGAAAAATAGGTGACTTAGAAACAGAAAGCATTTGTTGGTTGATTTAACCCAATATCGTGGTACTACCTGTTAAGGGGGGTTAAGAGGAGTGAAATATATGTGTGTGAGTTCTACTGGTTTTGTAAGTCTCTTTACCATGGCAGAAAATATGTAGGTAATTAGTAAATCTACAAGATTCAATATCATCCTATATATTACATAGAAATGCTGAATTAAATGCCAGGGAAAGGATCTGAGTAGTTGAGTGTGATTGCTTTTAGGAGAGAAGCAAAAATTTGGGTTTGAAGATGGATGAATAGAGTTGGAGATGAGAAACTTTTTTGTGTATGATAAAATATATATAAGATAAAATTT